TCCCACATCGCCCAGGGGAGTGATCCTTAAATGTATATTCCCATCCTTACCTAGCACGAGGCATTTTGGGAGCTTACTGGCTTCGGGTTCCGTCGGAACTTTGAAGTTAAGCGAGAAGGTGGCCAGAGCACTCCTATGATGGGTGACCCACTGGGAAGTTGCTCGTGAATTCTCAAAAACAAAACCATAAGGGCGTGGTCGAGGCTCAAAACGGATAATATCGTGCTACGGTGGTGGAGCGGGCCCAGGAAGTGGTCCGCCTCGGGTCGGATGTGACAAATGATATCAGAGCCAATCCCTGGCCGTGGTGTGCCGATGAGGACGTCGGGCCCCTAAGGGGGTGGATTGTAACATCTCACATCGCCCAGGGGAGTGATCCTTAAATGTATATTCTCATCCCTACCTAGCACGAGGCATTTTGGGAGCTTACTGGCTTCGGGTTCCGTCGGAACTTTGAAGTTAAGCGAGAAGGTGGCCAGAGTACTCCCATGATGGGTGACCCACTGGGAAGTTGCTCGTGAATTCTCAAAAATAAAACCGTAAGGGCGTGGTCGGGGCCCAAAGCGAACAATATCGTGCTACGGTGGTGGAGCGGGCCCAGGAAGTGGTCCGCCTCGGGTCGGATGTGACAAATGATATCAGAGCCAATCCCTGGCCGTGGTGTGCCGACGAGGACGTCGGGCCCCTAAAGGGGTGGATTGTAACATCCCACATCACCCAGGAGAGTGATCCCTAAATGTATATTCCCATCCCTATCTAGCACGAGGCCTTTTAGGAGTTCACTGGCTTCGGGTTCCATTGGAACTCCGAAGTTAAGCGAGAAGGTGGCCAGAGCACTCCCATGATGGGTGACCCACTGGGAAGTTGCTCGTGAGGTCCCAAAAACAAATCCGTGAGGGTGTCGTCGAGGCCCAAAGTGAACAATATCGTGCTACGGTGGTGGAGCGGGCCCGGGAAGTAGTCCGTCCCGGGTCGGGATGTGACAGCGCTTGTAGCGCACCCATGTCATCAGTTCAGTGTTTGATCTTTACTTTTGTTAATTTTGTATTTGGAGCTGCTATTGTATTGGATTATGTGTGATAAATGGATGTGGACAAAAGAAAAGAATTGTGAGAAAAGACAAAATTGCAAGCAATTTTAAAAATGGAAGATGGGTTGAGATTTGTGTAAAAAATATTATTTTGCGGAGAATTATAGTAAGTAACATGTTAAGTTTATTCATTAGCCAATTGTTCAACAATTTTTCTTCTTTTTCATTTTTGGATTTGTTTTTGTAATTTCAACAATTTCTAACATACATTTTGGATATGTTTTCTTTAGCTAATCTTTTGATTGTGCAGTACGTAGTTACCTTTCTAACATATATTTCATTTCTCATTGTTGGTGAGGATAATGTGGTTAACTCCAAATAATATTTGGCAAGATTCTAAAAAACGCTAGGCGCTAGTCGGGCGGCATGATGGAGCCTAGCGCCTAGGCGGCTAGGCGGACTAAGCGGATTTAAGTAAATTTATTATATATTTTTAGTAATTTGGTGAATTTAAGGTACAAGATAAAAGTTTAAATAATTACAAGTACGTAGTAACTTAATATTTTTAGAGATCATATTAATTTATATTCAATTTTAAGACAAATAAAAGTGTCAAATATGTGGGTGTAGAAAGCAAAATGAGACACTAGACGCATAAAGAGGGGAGCCACACCAATTAGCAAAAACACACCTAGGGACTGACAGCCTATGCTTTTTATGAAAACAATCAACAATAACTTGATGCTAGGTATTGACAGCCCATTTTCTATTTTGGAAAGATCAACTTGATGCTAGCTGTCCAACCGTGATTGGACAAAATTAAAAAATAAATTAAATGAGAAAGTTTGAGGGTGGTCACGTGGGAGTGAAAGTGTAACGACCGGTCCTCAATTACTATGAATTTTATAATTGTTAGATGTGAAATTACGAAAATGTCATTCGAGGCAAATATGTTGACTTTTGTTGATCGCCTTGTCGTGTCACATAAGATCCGTTCTCTTGGCGTATCCTCGTAGTACTCGTCACTATGAACGCGTGGGCGCAAACGGAACATAATTTGCAATTATAACTAAGGGGTTATTAACGAACGAAGTAAAAGGCAAAATGGTCATTTGACCATAAATCTAGAAGGTTCTAGACTTTGCTGGAGCAATGAGATCGTGCCACGTGTATGGCCAGGATGGAAGGATGAGAGGATAAAAGAAGAAACTGAGAGAGATGGACGGAGGAGAGGAAGGGGAAATGAGAGAAAGGAAGGGGAGATGCCCCAATTGGGAGAAAGGGGTGAAAACATGGACCAATGGGAGAGGAGAGAAATGAGGGGAAAAGAGAGAAGAGAGAAGCACCAGATCCTTCGACTCGGTTCCTACGTGACCCGACTCGATTACTCCACACACCCCAACGTCTATTCTGGCGTTTTTCTAGCGAATTGATCATCACCACCACTTGCAACCTACTCAGCGACCTCCCCTCTTCCATTTTCTTCAATTAATCGATGGATTTTAGGCCTAGGTTTGTGGGTTTCGTGTCAATGGCTTCGAGGACACCACGGTGGCGATCGGTCATTTTTGCAAGCACCACCATCGACCACCACCCTTGTTTGACTCCCCTTGACGTCTAGATCAAACCCCAAACAAGTTTGGGGGCGGCAGAGCATTAGAGGAGACGGATCGATAACCACCCATTTTAAGGGTTTTTTACGGTTTAAAGGATGTTCAGGTCACTTTCCGCCCGAATTGGACTTCGGCCCAGGTATGAAAGTTGTTCCTTTCATTGAGATCTTCATTGCTGTAAAATTTGAGAATTTTTGGAGTTGTTGAATTTTTCGACGAGTCGGGGCTGCTGGTCGCCGCGCATGCAGTGGCGCGTGGCCTTCCAAGTTTGATGAGATTATAGGATTGATGAGATTTATGGATTTTGTTTCGGGCAATGATTGCACCATTATTGAGCATGGTTTTACTCATACTTGTTTTACGAATGATTTCTTGGCATGTTAGGGTTTTCAGAAAAACCTATTATGTAGTATAATATATGTTTTCAAAACAGGGGGTTAGTATGTTTATAAATAAAATGGTTTCCTTATTATTAGTATTATTATTATAAACTTTGGTCCACTCACCTTTTCGGTTTTGTGCCCCCTTAAGAGTTAGAATCGAGGCAGACTTTCCTGGCGTTAGGGCAATTTCGCGTAGGGATCTTTGAGGTTTCTCTACGTGGTACCCATTCCTTGGTTCATATTTTTTTTATCATCGTCCTTTCACATTATTCTTAATTAGTTGTATGCTTTGAACACATTCCTACATTAGTATATTTCTTTCTAATTACATATTTTAATTTACATACATGTTTAAAATGGTTTCATCACCCTTAGGTGTCGGCCAGCACGTGCCTATCCTGGTATTTGGGGATATTGGGATCAGGTTGTGTGAGAAAGGATGAGAGATAAACTCATTTTCTCATCTTCTTCAACATCAGAACTAGCAAACTCAAAAATTCCATAACACACTGCACTCATCCTTTCTCAAGTTTTAAAATAGAAAAAAATTTGAAATTCTAGACCGCCTAATCCAACCAGTCAGCTGCCTAGGCCGCCTAAGGTTCACCCAGGCTGCCTCAGCGCTCGCCTAATCCCTTCCCTGATTTTTCTCCCAATTAAGAGTTAATCCTGGTGGCTGGCCATTGCCCAGCATTTAAACCAATTTTTAGAACATTGATATTTGGTAAGGATCAGGCGAAAACCAATACAAGAATAGTGGTGGGAACATAGTGAGTACCAATGCCTTGTATATGTGACAAGGTTTCTATATTTTCCTGCTGACCATATATGCTAATTTCTTCTCGGTTGCATTTGGGTCCTGAAGACTCAAATATAGCTAACCTAGAAAAGTGACACCAACATAAATATTTAAAAAATTAGTTGAAATAATGAGTTATAAATCTTAATTTTTGAAATGATCTCCATTTTTTTTTTCATATTTGATCAATACGTAGCTAATTTTTAATTTTAATCAGTTTAAGAATTGGATGTTATAAAGCTTTATCTATACTGTATAAATCTACTAAACTTTATTCTTATATATGTATACTTCAAAGTAAACTCTTGCTGGATTTGTGCTTGATAATAAATGGTGGATATATGATGTTTTCAGATAAAATCACATAGTCCGCTTTGTACCTTTGGTTGATGAATTGTTTCAAGTTTTGCGTTTTCAATTTTCTATCCTTTTTTCTGGCAAGGCTTTTTACAATGTGGACTTCAATTGATGGAGTATCACTTCTATGTTGATATAATTTCTTTTGTGGCAGATGATATGAAGAAGTGGAATGATAAACTGATGGAATGGGAATTTTGCTGCTAAGACAAGAATGGTAAATTAGTTTTATATACACATAATGCATGTAAATAGAAAAAAAAACCTACATTTTTTCTATGTGGACTTTTATCGATTAAATATTTGGTATGTAAATTTTTTCTAATGTTTTGATGTAAATAGTAATAATCTTCTATCACACAACCTTTCATATAATTTTTAATCCTTTGACAACGCATGAACATCATTTTCTAGTTCTTCACTATTACGCAAAAGGCCTGAAACTGCGTTTTAATACTAATGACTACACCAACAATTTCAACACTCTAAGAACTTGGATTGGATTGTTTTAAGAGGTATGATTCTCTTCCCTCCTATTTCCATCCCTTTTCATCCCCTCTTTTCAAACTTTGTTTTTTGTCCTTTTGTCTTTGTAAAAAAAAATCAATTTAAGATAATGACGTGTCTTAATTATAATCGTTCAAGTAGAAGACGAGGGAGGGAGGGAGAGAGAGATTAATGGGACATAAATCCTCCTCCTAGTTTCAACTGCGGGAGCGAAACCTCACCGCCAATATTGTCTTAGTCAGAAGCCACACCAGAGCTAAACCTTAAAATGACCGCCAATATTGTCTTAGTCAGAAGCCACACCAGAGCTAAACCTTAAAATGACCGCCAACGTTGTCTTAGTTAGAAGTCACATTAGAGTGAAACCTTGAAATGATCGCCCTGTCTTAATCAGAAGTCACACCACACCCATTCCAATCAATATTTCAATTACTTAAAATGCTCAAGAACTCGAGAGAATATCCTTCCCATCGGCTTTTAATTAGCATTTATGCAGTTGACGATCACATTATTCTTGCCATGGTTTCCTCAAGATTAATCAGATTATCGTCCATTTGTATGCAAATTTTGTTACTCATCATCAACGTTAATTTCACCCAAGCCCAGCTTGGGCCTCATGAAATTCCAGCAGCCTACTGTTTTAACGGCAAGGGCAACTACACCACTGGCAGCATCTATCAAACAAACCTCAATAGCCTCCTCTCCAACTTATTCGATGCCAACAACGGCTACGGCTTTTACAATTCCTCCCTTGGCGAAAACAACGACAGAGTTTATGCAATCGGGCTCTGTCGAGGAGATATTACAAAGGAAGCTTGCGGTACCTGCCTTTCTGACACTGCAAACGGTCTCACGAAGAATTGTCCTAAGCAGAGGGAGGCAATTGGATGGTTACCCAATTGTATGTTACGCTACTCAAACCGCTCCATATATGGCATAATGGAAACTGATCCGGCTTACAACGCTTTCAATGTATACAATGTATCCACGGGCTTTGATGCATTCAATCAAGAGCTCTCTCGCTTATTTAATGGACTAGGAGGCAAAGCAGCAACTGGTGGTGATCTTCGGAAGGTTGCATCAGGAAACGCAACCATTCCAAGTTCTAATATAACAATATATGGTCTTGCTCAGTACACCCCAGATTTGTCCGAGCAAAGTTGTATTGATTGCTTAGAGTATGCTTCCGGAGGTCTTGGATCATGTTGTAATGGATCACTTGGTGTGAGAGTTGTGACCCCAAGTTGTAGCTTAAGATATGAACTTTTCCCCTTTGTTGGAGATACAAATGAGACACCACCACCATCCCCACCATTAGCAACACCACCGGACAATACTGCGATTCCAGGAGGTATTACATATGTCAAGTCCCATTACTCTTTGAAAAAAATGGTTTAATTATTTGATATACAAATTGGACATCTTGGCATCATTTTTCTATCCCTCCTTATTCTGAGTAATATGTCTGATTCTTTCCTTCGGATTGTAGAACCAACTAGAAACAAATTAATTTGTAACTTGGTCTCAAAGTCCAATAAATTATCATTCGTTATACCTAGTGATAGAAAGGATTTCGATAATTAAAAATTCAGGCCCATATATAATCCGATATGATCGGATAAGCTATATTTCTGATTTGTGCAGGAAAGAAGAGTAAAATTTCTCGGACTGTGATCATTATGGTTGTCACAGTTGTTGTTTCCCTGGTACTAATTATGTCGATCTGCATTTATCTGAGAGTGAAGAAGATGAAGGAAAAACTTGGAGGTAAGTTTAGATCAGTTAGTTTTTACTTCCCATGAAACAGAATGGCCTCATGGAACACCTACTATTGATATAAGAACTTAAACTCAAACATTAACATATATGTATCTTTTTAATTAAATATGCGTGCAATGGCCTTATTTAGTTTTTGGTTTCATATTGCTTCTCTCTCATGCAAAGAAGGAGATGAAATTCTTAATACAGAAGCCTTGCAGTTTGACTTTGGCTCCATAAGAACGGCTACAAATAACTTTTCTGAAGAAAATAAGCTTGGACGAGGTGGATTTGGTGCTGTTTACAGGGTAATGAATCGTATCACTAAACATGTCAGTTAAATGATTCTTGTGAGAAGTAAGTTAACATTCAGATGGTGGTTGAATGCAGGGTAGGCTTTTGAACCAAGAAGATATAGCGGTTAAAAGGCTTTCTAGGGATTCTGCACAAGGAGATATAGAATTTAAAAATGAGGTCACGTTAGTAGCCAAACTTCAACACCGCAATTTAGTTAGGCTCCTTGGTTTCTGCTTGGAAGGAAACGAGAGGCTTCTTATCTATGAGTTTGTCCCTAATGCAAGCCTCGATCATTTCATATTTGGTAGGGTTGGGAACTTGGATTTCTGGTTTTATTTTGGAATATGGTAAATTCTTCTATATACATGCTTTCCAAAATGCATACACTGCTGTAAACGTCCTTAACAGTCATTACAAAAGTCTTCTTGCTTGCATGTGCAGATCCGGTCAAGAGCAGACATTTGGACTGGGACAGTCGCTACAAGATCATATTAGGCATTGGCCGAGGACTCCTCTACCTTCATGAAGATTCTCGTCTTAGAATAATTCATCGTGATATGAAAGCAAGTAACATTTTGTTAGATGGAGAAATGCAACCCAAAATTGCAGATTTTGGAATGGCAAGACTGTTTGATCTTGATCAAACACAAGGTGCTACCAGTCGAGTTGTAGGGACGTAGTAAGTACTAGCAGATCTTGTATGGCTTATAATCTCAAAGCTCATGTCCTTTAACAATTCAAGTAAATTAAGAACACACAACAATATAATTTGGGCATGACCATGACAAGTTTCAAATATAATAAAAAAAGTTAAACTTGCTTTTGTTGATATGCAGTGGTTATATGACACCTGAATATGTAATGCGCGGACACTTTTCTGTCAAGTCCGATGTGTACAGCTTCGGTGTGTTAGTTTTGGAGATAATTACTGGACAGAAAAATAGTTCTTTCTGTCCTGGTGGGAACGCGGAGGACCTTCTAAGCTATGTAAGTAACACAAAGAGTTGAGCTATACATATCACTGCAATATATTCAGATTAAACTAACGAATGAAATGTCCTATCTGACTTTGTTAATTTCTAACTATTCACAAACTTGTGCAGGCCTGGAAAAGTTGGAAGGAGGACACAGCTTCAAATTTAATAGGTCCCATATCGAAGAGTGGTTCAATACCAGAAATAATGAGATGCATCCACATAGGATTGTTATGTGTGCAACCAAATATAGCTGATAGGCCAACCATGGCTACAGTTATTCTCATGCTTACTAGCTACTCTCTGGATCTTCCAGTACCTTCACAACCAGCATTTTATATGGATGGTGGCATTCAATCCTCATCTGATACGTCTTTGGGATGGAAGGATAATTCTAGTGTGACAAGGTTAGATCTGTCTAAAAGCAACTCTGTAGAATATTTGCTACATGGATAGCTTCGATTCCAAATTACAACTTCACTAGTTGATCGATGATGCAATGAAATACTTATGTTGTTGTTATGTAAATGTGATACCTTGTTTAGGTATGCAGTTTCTGATTAATCTTAAGTGATTGGGGTCAATTGGCCTTTCTTTTTTGTCACTCGAGCGATAGTCTACATTAAATTAAAGCTTATTTTTAAAGGAAAACTAATGAAAATTGCTTAAAAACTGTGAGTTTTAACGATAAGGACAAAATAAAGGGTAAAGTGAATAGTACCAGGATTGACTTTTTAGTGTAAAAATGTGGTTTTTCATTAAAGTGAACAGTACCGTGGATTTTTTGTTAAAACTCCCTATTTTTAACTATGCCCCTTGAAACTCGATTTTGGTCTTATCTGTAACCTAAAAGTTATAACTTTACTCACTGAAACTCAAAATTCGTTTCACTTTAACTTGTGTATTCTCTCTTCTTCCTGAAACTCAAAAGTCATTCAGTAGATCATATGTAGGATCCACTGCCCAATAAGACTATGTTAAATGTGCCAATGTATTTGATTATAAAGTGGATTTTTTACAAGAAATTATGAAGTGGATTTTTTTTGGGTTGTTGTGTTTGAGTTGCAAAGATGAAAAAAAATAAAAATAAATTGATTAGCTCGATACACCAAATTAAACCCACCTAGCGGAATTAACAGACCTAAGACAAATGTGAAGCGAATTTTGAGTTTTATAGACTAAAATGATGACTTTTAAGTTTTAGGGGGAAAATGAGATCAAAATCGAGTTCTAGGTAGTAAAGGAGAGCGAATTTTGAGTTTCAGGGAGTAAAATGAAGATTTTTGAGTTACATAAATCAAAGTAAAATTAAAATCCAATTTTAAAAACGTAGCTAAAATTAAGTCTTAAATTAAATTAAGCAATGCGAAGGAAGATTTGAAATGAAGAGACCTTCATAAATTACGTTTTACCGGACGGTCGAATCACTCTTCAACATTGTGATGGATACCGATTTAACACTTCAACGACATGAGAAGAATATACTCCGTAGCTAATGAGATATATAATTCATGCAATATTATTTTTTGAAGATCCAAGTACAAGGACATTATAAATATCATTTTCTTATACATTTTATAAGCTTCCATTTTATTGTCGTTTAGACTTGTTCTCCGTTTATTTGTCTCCTCCCTTTCCCTTAACTTCCACATTGTTGCAGCTGCGTGGATATGTTATTTGCTCTATTGCAGAGGCCAAACCTTGGAAATTCGTGCCCTGTCCTCACTCTCCTCAACCACTCCCCCTTGAATCTTAGACCAATTTTTAAGTTTAATTAGTATAAGATAATATAATAATAAAAGAAGATAATAATCATAATATATTTTTTAAGTAACAAAAGAATTAGACATAAAGCATGAACGCATATGATATTGTAACACACTAAGATTGAAATGTGGGGTCCGTCACTCTTTTCTCTTTAATCATAACCGCCAATATCATTCATTGTAGAAAAAAGGATATTTGATGATTTCATCCGTCCTTTTACGTGTTCATTATATGCTTCATAAAATGTAATTTATCACGTGATCTTTAATGACATTTCTGCCTTATTGTCTTTGTGTGCACTTTACCTTAAAATAATGCAACACTAAAATTCTCATGCTCCATGAACGACCTCAAGTATTTTCACATATAATTGTGTGTGTGTGTGTATTCCATCATATATGTGGGACCATGATTTTCCAGGACCGTAGTAAGGCGGATCCAAATATGAATACCTTAGAAGTTTGGTCATGGACTCAATAGCTTCCGCATCGACCAGGTTTCTTATATTCTTGAAATCCCTACGATCTAAGGATTGACGTGCACCATAAGTAATCAAACTCCTAAGAGAATGCAATATCTACTCCAAGATATCCTTAAGGGTTCTCCCGGTTTAATATGGAATTCATATCCTAAAAGAACTCATCTTGACTAGTATAAATACATCATTCTAGGTTCATTTCTGGTAAAGCAATTATCGCACACTTATTCTCTTGCCTATAATTGAGTCTCATAATATTGTTTACTAACTTGACTGTTAGAGAGCCTTTGGCATGCACCTGTTGTTTCTTTGCTTACGGTTGTTTACTGTCTTGTAGGCTACACAAATTTTTTCATCTCCCCTACATATAGAGGTGCACAAATTTGGCTCCAACAATTGGTGCTTTCATTGAGAGCTGAACTCAAGAACCTTTTAACTAAATTACTCTACCCACAATGTTATTTCAAAGAAAAATCCTTGCATCTCTGTCGACTCAGAACATAATGATACTTCTGGTGAAGAAGATGTCCCCACCATGGATCAAATCTGGAAAACATTGATCAAGATCAACGTTTCAATCAACACTTCTAATGGCTTGCAAGAAGCTTAGGGTTGTAGCTTCCATCAACAGAACCCTTCCTATCATCCAAACACCCTGATGTTCCTTGATCTTGGTTTAGAATATTGTTAGTCCCAATTCTGCTCATGGTGGAAGAGCGCACATGCAAAAATAAAGACAGAAGAGATCGTGAAACCAAGCACCGGGGATAATGGTTCATGGTTAGGTACTTTGACGACCAAGGTTAGAGAATGGTGAAAGTAGGTATAATGGATGTTAAGTATTTTGAGATAGTTCAAATTGTCTAACCATTTGAGATGAGTCAAGACGGCAATTTATAGGTGTTGAGGAGTTGGTATCAGTGCTCTGCCAACTCTCTAAGTCATCAGAGTAATTAGAGTCAATAGAATGTCCCAGTCCACTCAGACTCCTCTACAGCCTGGCTCGTAACAGTCTAACTTATGTGCAGCATAGGTTAGAAAAGTCTATACTCTGCGCAGCGTGGGTCATTCACGTCGGTCTGACAAATCAACCATGAAATTGGGATTTTTGCAACTGGGATTTGATTGAACGAATTGGCATCTAAGTAGGGGTTGTTGAGTATGATGTAGAGTATCCTCGATACCCACTCTGGTTGGAGAACCTATAGGACGAGAGACCGTGTATCCTTGTTAGGACTTCAACAGTAGAGTGACTGTGAGATGCTAGCCACCAGATATATCATGATTGTGACATAATGAGTACCTTACTCTGGGCCGGACCGATGGAGTGGGATGATGTTGTTGGACGTATACCCTTAATGCCACTCATTTGATGTAATAGCTTATGAAATACTTATCATGTTAAACTCTTATTTGTTTAATGAAAGTGGAAAGCTTATGTGAATCTCTATATATTGTATGATGTGTTTAATCAATAACACAATCCAAGAAATGTATTTAATTTAAGATAGAAGTGATCTAAGCAAGTTAGATCAATGAGACCTTTCTCTTATGTTCATTCCTAAAATGTTCCTAACCATAAGATTATTGATGGGGCATTGACAATCCACTAAGATTAGTATATGTTATGTTAACTCAAGTGGGAGTTGAATGTTAGAAACTCAGACAAACATATAGCTACTTAAAAGAGTATTGAGTACACTGATCCACGATTGACAGAGATTTCTAACATACATTTCATGTTAGAACACAAAAGTTGCAATAATATAAGATAGTCTTTTGACCTGAGACATCATAGTTGTCTAGTAGTTAAGTCATTTATCTTTGACTATGTTAAAGGTCCACTGAGGATGTCCACGAAATTGTTGGGGTTAAGCTACCTAACCATGTAGCATGAAAATGTACAACAAGGGATCTCTAACCTTCCATGGTGGAAGGAGAATACTCTAATATATGATTCAGGAGTTTTTGGCCACAGCTTATGAATGAGATTAGGGAAGCATTTTTCAAATCACAATCAGTAGAATCACATAGAGAAGTATCACATTGGATAATAGACATGCAACAAACTATCACTTAAACAATGTAGTCAAGAGTATTGAATTAGAGAAGGACTGTATTGCAGTATATTTGTCACTCAATAGGTTCTCCAACCACTTATACATAGCTTGGGTAGCCATGACATATTGCTAGGTGTCACTTATAGTTTGAAGAACCCCTGAAGATTAGAGACCACTAGTCTTCAACAAATGGGATAATTGAAAGTTAATCTCAATTTAAAATCGATTGTTAAGGTTACAGTCGCCCACTACCTCAGTAACTAGAACCTAATGGAATGTATTCCGGGTAAGGATGAATGTGAAGAAATATCAATGAGATGGATAAGCAATTAATAGATTAATTGAGTATAGTCAAGATTAATTAATTATGTAATTAATCATACGAAAGATTCGTATTAGGCTTTATGTTAGTTTCGGGTTTCAAATGAGTTTTGGTCCATAAGGCCCATTGAGTTTTAGTTGTATGACAATTAAAACAAAATGGAAATCAACCCAAAAACAAAGCCAAAACCGGCCATACTAAGAAAGAGTGTGATGGTGGCTTTAACCTCATTAGGGTTTCTTTGAGGCAAAAAAGTGAACCTCTCTCTCTCTCTCTCTATTTTCTTTCTAAAGGGGCTGGCCTTCCTAGAAAAGTTTACTAGCATCAAACTTCTTCTAAGCAATCCATATCCTCTTCACCTCTCATCCTTGGTTTGGAGATGTAGAGGCTTGGAACCTTGCAAGCTTTAGGAGATCATTTTTTCAAATCCTCAAGGAGCAAAGGAGAAGATAATAAGCAAATATACAAGGAGAGAACATCAAAGACAAGGAAGCATACAAGGAGCTTGGAGAGAACTTGAAGGCCTTTACTTAGGTGATAACCCTGTGAACACAAGGATGAGTTTCAAGAGTGTGAAAGCTCTAAACTCTCATCTTTTTAATTTGTAAAGAAACTTGGTTCACTAACACTACGTTTTGAATTTCATAGGTTATAGAAATGTATTTTTAGTGCATACTTACTTTAAGAGTTATTATATGTTTGTATGCTCAAACATTCTTAGTTAGACAAAATTTTTCCTTCAAGTGGTATCAAGAGCCTAAGTCTAGCATTCGGTGAATCCTTTTGGTATTTCATGATTTGTGATTTAAATGTTGTAACCATTACAAGCTTTATTCTTAATTTATTTAATGTAAATTTTACTTGAACATATATCATCTCAAAAGTTGTAGATGTAGTTCATTTGAGCATGAATGTTGGAACTAAAATATGCAGCCATTATTTTGGGGTG